GTCACTTTAATAGATGTGCCCATGACTGTTTTTCCCCAACCACACATGGAATACAGTGGTGCCTCGCACAACGATATTAATTGGTTAAAAAAAAAAACGCACAACGATGTCCCTTTTCGCTCCTGTAAAAGTGCCTTAAACTGTTTGAAAAGTGTTTGAAATGCTTGCTATCGTTAGCCCACCTCCTGAAACCTATGCAAACTTAATTTGGTGTTGTTCTGAGGCGTCCTTAATTTTTGGTGATTTTTTGTTTTCTCCATTGAAAGCCATTGGATGGACCGTCCAATGGCTTTCAATAGAGAAAACAAAAAATCACCAAAAATTAAGGACGCCTCAGAACAACACCAAATTAAGTTTGCATAGGTTTCAGGAGGTGGGCTAACGATAGCAAGCATTTCAAACACTTTTCAAACAGTTTAAGGCACTTTTACAGGAGCGAAAAGGGACATCGTTGTGCGAAAATTCCCCATAGGAAACATCGTTGTGTGAGACGGCAAATTTTTCAGGAAAAGCCATCGTTGTGTGAATTTATCATTGTGTGAGGCACTCGTTGTGCGAGGCACCACTGTAGTCTGTTCCATACAGTTTCGATTTTCCTGCTGTTTGCCCAAGGAGAATCCTTTGGTACCACAGAGAGGTCTGTGGTGTCAACCAGGGCCATCTCCAGACTGTGTGACTTCAAACCAAATATGGAGCACTCCAGCCCTATTATATTCCGTATTTTCAAACTGGATTCTGACTGCATGTTTTATCAATCACATCTGTTTGAGAGTCGGGGCAGACTTTTCATACTACTTGTTGCTGTTTGGTTACTTAAAGAAACCTTAGAATTTATAACAAAATTTCATAAAACTTTAAAATGACCCTTAAAAACATTAAAAGTGTTGTTTGAAAGAAAGCAGCCAGAAAATATTGCACATTAGCCCTGTATCTACAGGATCAGTATCCTCTGATTCACTTATCTACGATCTGAAAACGTTTTGTATTAAAAGAAAAATCCTAGAAGTATAGATTTCTGAAGTTGAAGTTACCAGAATCAGACACTAGAGGGAGACAGAGACCATGCTATGTACACTATAGCGTTTGCTATTAAAATGATGTTTGCTGTAATCCATGTTTTTTTTTAGCATTCATGGGATGGCTTGGAGCTGACCCCTGTGGATGCAGGGGTCGAACTGTAAATTAAAACAAAAACCAGGCCTACATTATTCTTTCTTGTTGCATTACATATGAAATCTAAATTTGCTGTGCCTTTGCCATGAAAAAGCAGAACAAATTATAGGCAATGAAATGGTTACTTCCATCTTCTGCTCCTGAACATCCAGCTGATGTGGGATCATTTCATTCCTTAGTACAGTGGTGCCTCGCATAGTGGTCCCTCGCTATGTGAAAACATCACAGTGGTCCCTCACTATGTGAAAACATCACTAAACGGAACATAAAAACCCATTGGAACGCATTAAACATCATTTAATGCATTCCAATGGGCCCTAAACTTACCGTTCAGCGAAGTTTCCTCCATAGCGGCAGCCATTTTCGCGCCCTCGGTAAGCGAGGGGAGGGCGCGAAAACGCTGTGCGCGGTCATTTTGGGCGTCCGGCGGCCATTTTAGAACCGCTGAACAGCTGATCCACGGGAATCGCAAAGCGAAGATTGGTAAGCGAAATGCTTACCGATCGTCGCTATGCGAGTTTTGCCCATTGGAACGATCAGTATGCCTCCGCATTAGCGATCCCGAAAAGGGGGTCGCTATGCGGATTCGTCGTTGTACGGTGTGCTCGTTAAGCGAGGCACCACTGTATATGGAAGTCATGCACCCTCACCCCAGTTCATCCCCATTTTCAGATTCTTCTCATGCCCCCTTCTTGTTTTTCTTCCTCAGGGTGGCGTCGGTGGCCTTCACGGAGGAATCTCGCTCACAGCCTTTGTCACCATTGCACTTCACCAGGCCTTGCCCTTCTTCGAAGAAAAGGAGTCGGACCCAGAGCTGAAAAACCAGATGTTGCAACAACTGAACCAAGTGGTATGAAACGGGGAGAATGGCTAGGAGTAGAGATGGGGGGTACGAATACGAATTCATACGAATACGAATATCCACCCCCATAGGTGGAGATAATGAGGGGCTGGCCCCAAGGGGCCGGACAGTCCACTCATGTTTCCGCTGCTGCCGCGAGCTCAACAGAGTCTTCCTATCGCGTCGTTGCTCATGATGGATTTGCCAGTCCTGGCAGAAGGCAGGATGACGAGCCTCTCTGACAGGTTGAAGAGTGGCTAATCCATCGCGAGCAACGGAGTAATAGGAAGGCTCCGTCGAGCTTGCAGAAGCGGCAAAATTGTGAGTGGACCGTCCGACACCATGGGGCTGGACCCTCGTTATCTCCACCTGTGGGGGCGATATTCGTATACAGATCCCCCCCCCCCCTGTCTCTAGCTATGAGCAGATGGTTGAAATTCATCCACCAGAGCTACAATTGGTAACATGAGTTTATGGAGCACAGAATCCAACATACTGAGAAGCTTCTGTTTTCTTTGTTTAAAAAAACAAGTTACTAGCCCTTATGGCTGATCCAGGTGCTGACATCTGTAAGTAGAAATGCTGTATACAGATGGGCATAAACCACAGTTTAGCGGTTTGGCTCGGTTTGGTGCTTAACTTCCAAAAGCGTGGTTTGTGCCCATCTCTAATGCTGTACCATGCATCAGCATGTACATGCACTAGAAATATGCAGATATTTGTAGGTTTCAATGACAGCCCTCAGCATTTCCTGGGCCCCTAAGGAATTCTGGGCTTGTAGTCCAAAAGCATGGATCTGCACACTTAAGTACAGTGGTGCCTCGCTTAGCGACGTTAATCTGTGCAGCAAAAATCGCTGCTAAGCGATTTACTCGCTAAGCGATTTTAAAAAGCCCATAGAAATGCTTTGAAACCCCTTCAATGCGGTCCTATGGGCTCCAAAACTAACCTTAAGCGAAAATCCTCCATTGCGGCAGCCATTTTCGGTGCCTCTAAAGCGAGGCAACACAGCGGGCGGCCATTTAGGAACCGCCGATCAGCTGGCCGAAAATGGGGCTGTTGCAATGATCGCTTCCCCACGATCATCGCAAATGCCCCATTTTCGCCAGCTGATCGGTGGGGCCTTTGCAATGATCGCTTCCCTGCGATCATCGCAAAGGCCCCCTTTTCGCACAGCTGATCGGCGGGGGCTTTGGGATGATTGCGGGGGAGCGCTTCCCTGCGATCATCCCAACGGCTGCATTTTCGCACAGCTGATCTGCGGGGGCTTTGGGATGATCGCGGGGAAGTGCTTCCCGCAATCATCCCAATAATGAGGGCTTTGCGATTATCGCTTCCCCGCGATCATCGCAAAGCGAATTTTCCCCATAGGGGCCATCGCAAAGCGATTGCTCTTGCGATGGCAAAAAGTCCATCGCAAAGCGATTTCGTCGTAAAACGGAGCAATCGCTACGCGAGGCACCACTGTATGGTATAATGACAACTGCTTGGATATTAAGGAAAATGAGCATTCCCTATGATTGGTCTGTTTTCACTCCCATATCTCCAGCCCATCATTGAATTTCTTCACAGGTGCCTGTCCCAGCAAGCAAACATTCACATGAAGCCTGTGTTTACTTGTCATGATCAGTCACAACAGGAAGCAGGCTAAGTGCAAGTTATGTAGGCTAAATTACTATTGCAAAATACCACATCTGGAAGGGAGATGGTACAAACATTGTGGCAGCCCCCCTCCCGTTGTGTGCTTGAATGTGTGACTAATTGCCCACACATGTGACTGCAGTATGTCAGAGAAAATGACAGAAGTCTGTGCAGTTGTGCGCATGGGTTTCACAATTGTCAATTTGCACACTGTAATCCCAAATAAATTCTGGCCATTTTGAGGATAAACAGATATTATTCCCCACTTGGGAAGTATCTCTGGGGGTAAAAGTCATTAATATAGCATTCTAGTTTGACCCTAAGAATGCTGGTTGTTAGCACGAATGTCTCTGACTTATGTAATAATAATCTTCGAACTGCAGAGGTGGTAGGGACCCTACGGATCATCAAGAGTCCATCCCCTGTTAAGGAGGCCCAGTAGGGAATTGAACTCCCGACCTCTCGTTCCACAGCCAGAAACCTAAACTACTGTACTGAGCTATCCGGCACTTATATCTCAAAGGCAATCCGATGTCTCTTGCCCCACCTGTCTGCAGTATGCAAATACAACAGTGGACGTGTGGTGAAAGGCTTGGATTGGCAAAGAAAGGGGGTTTGCTTCTTTGACGAATTGGGTACCCCGTCGGGAAAAGTAAGACCGCCATCTTGGACAGCAGATCTTTGGGGACATGGGGGACAGCGATAAAATGCTGGAGAATAAAGCTATGGATGATACACCACCTGCATTGGGTTAAGCTAAGCTACTTTTCTCTCTTCTGATATTGTAGACATTGCTGTCCCCTTGTTGATACCAAAGTAAGCTTTAACTGTTGCTCAGCATGGCTTCTAGGTGTGGAACGATTGAAAGAAGGCCATTTTAATCCAGCACCATAGACCGCACAACGGGGCAGGCTGGTCCTGGCTCACCTGAAGTAAACACCAGTCACCTCCAGTCCTCCCATATCCATCCCTCGGTCCTTGCCTGTTTGGGTCTAGAGCTCGCCGTCTTTATTCAATAGCAGCGAGGGAACCAGAAGGATCCATTCCCCCCCTAAAGAAAGGTCTTCTTCTCACTTCTGGTTCTGTCTTGCCCTCTCCCAGAAACAAAGCCTGGATCGGGCCACCACCTTCCTTGCCAGCTCGCTGAACGACCAAGCGCTGGGCCCTTACCCTGTGGCCATCACCAGCTACGCCCTCTCGCTGGCTTCCAACGACCGGGCGGCCATCGCGGCTGCTGACATCCATTTGAGGCAGCTGATTTCGGAGGATCAAAGTAATCCTTCTTCTCTTTCCTTATTTCACTCAGCTACAAAAGGGTCAGGGTGGAATCTCGGGAATCTGAAGGACATCTCCTTTTTTTAAAAAACCCATGAAAAGATGGGACGTAGCATACATCTTGAGTCCGCAGATTTTTCCTTAGCGACAAGCTGTCTAGGAGAGGTTTTTAAAAGAGGTGGTTTGCCTTTTCTTGCTTCTAAATCAGTTTTTGTAATGTATTCGCGAAGGCTTTCACGGCCGGGATCTAATGGTTGTTGTGGGTTTTTCGGGCTCTTTGGCCGTGTTCTGAAGGTTGTTCTTCCTGACGTTTCACCAGTCTGGTGAGACTGGCGAAACGTTAGGAAGAACAACCTTCAGAACATGGCCAAAGAGCCTGAAAAACCCACAACAACCAGTTTTTGTAATGTTTGGCCTAACGATTACTATTGATTTGTTTATCAGTTGAACGATGTGCTGTTTTTGTGTTTTAATGATGTAAGCTGCCTTGGGTCTTTTCTTCAGAGAAAAGTCGTGTAAAAGTATTTTAAACAAACAAACAAACAGAGAAAAGTTGGGTAAAGTATTTTAAACAAACAAATGAACACATTACATCAACTGCATTTCATTGTAGCTTTATAGCAAACGAGGGAAATCATTTGTCAGCTTCCAACTTCCACCAGCCCAGGACAGCGTGACCTGTGGTCTGTCAAGAAGGACGTTGTCATAGGGCGACATCTGAAGACATTTAGCTTCCTTGCTTCTGGAAGACGCTTGGGTAAAGTATTTTAAACAAACAAATGAACACATTACATCAACTGCATTTCATTGTAGCTTTATAGCAAACGAGGGAAATCATTTGTCAGCTTCCAACTTCCACCAGCCCAGGACAGCGTGACCTGTGGTCTGTCAAGAAGGACGTTGTCATAGGGCGACATCTGAAGACATTTAGCTTCCTTGCTTCTGGAAGACGCTCCTGTAGATGAAATGGCGAATTTCCCCACTGCCATGGCCCTAACCTGAATCAGGTGTCAGCAGAGCTGCAGTTAAAACAAACTCATTTTTAGGCAACTTTTTGCTTTATGGATTTATCTTAATGTTTCTTCTGCAGCATCCGTCTGTGGCCCAAATCCTGTGTACAGTTTGTGGAACTTGCCACAGTTAATTGTGGTTAATTGACAAGGCTTTGGAGTGTGCCTTTAGTCACATGCCTGCTTGCATAACCAAGATGTGTCAATTAGTCCCAATTAGCTCCGACAAGTTATGCAAGCCTTATGTGAACATGAATAGGAGTCTAGCCTTTATTGTTTTGTTTCATTTTGGGAAGGTTGTGGCATTTTATTATTGAGTTTTATTACTGTTAGCTGCCCTGAGTGGTGTAGAAACACCAAAAGAGTGATAATATAAATTCTTCTACAAATACAGAAATATGGCCCCCCAAAAAATATATTTATGGCTCCCTAAAGACCAGGTGTAAGATTTCAACGGCGGTTATGTCAAATAAAGCTTGTCGGCCTTTATAATGCTAGAAGAAAGCCTTCTTGTTTTTGCTGCGAAAGATGACAGATCAGCATGGCCGCTACTCCAGAAATTAATTAATTAATTGATATATTAATTCATATGCAAGAAGATGGAGAATTGAGGCCTAAGGCAGCATGGGGAACAGTTTAAAAACGTAAAAGAGTGAAATACAATTCTGTTATGCAATTAAAGTCAAAACTCTTTAAAATCATTCAGTTAAAAACAGTAGTAACAATTTACATTAAAAGTGAAAAAAACACAACACTTCCACTGAGATCTTATAATGGTAGGCTCTTAACTCCCAAAGACCTGCCTAAATTTTTTTAAAAGCCTTTTGCTGTCACTGGAAGGAGCCTAGAGAGAGGGTAAAAGCCGTCTCCCTCGGCAAGGAATTCTGGAGCCTGGGGGCAACCACAGAGAAGGCCTTCTCTTGAGTCCCTAAAGTTGGTGGAACTATGAGAAAGGCCTTTTTAGAAGATCTTCAAGCTCAGGCAGGAAGATGTGGTCTTTCAGATCGCTTGGATTCAGCTTTGTAGGTCACGGCCAGCACTCTGAATTGTACCAGGAAACAGACCGGTAGCCGGTGGAGGTCATGAAAATACTGGACAATTGGAGAGAGGTGGAGAGGAAGGTGGAGAAATGAGATTCTAACACCATGTCTGTCCCATGACTCATTTCCCCTCTCTCTTACATCCTTGGTTCCAGACAAAACGGTTGTGTTCTGGGCAGTGGAGGAAAAGGACCGACTGCAAGGGGAGGCCACGAACCGGGTACCAACCGCTTCAGCCATTACAGTGGAGGCCACAGCCTACGGGCTTCTCTACTTAGTGAATCAAAAGGACACAGCAACAGCTGACAAGGCGGCTCGTTGGCTGACAGAGCAGAGGAATTATGGAGGAGGCTTCCGATCAACGCAGGTAACCTCCAAGATGCAACTGCAATGCCTTTCTTCAAAAAAAAGAGGAGGTGGTGGAGAGGAAATATCTGAATAAATACAGTGGGTGACTAAGAACTGGGATGTATATTTTTAAAGAACACGATATGAGTGCTTGCTTCCAGATTAGAGTTTTATTGTACAATCTTCCTAGTTGGTAAGGATCCAGCCCTACACAAATTCTGTAAGGAGAATTCTGAAAAACTATGGTAAGGGTGCAGTTACACAGTGAGGGAAATGCAAATTCACTTGCATTCACTTTCTGGTTTCCCTGGAGCACTTTGCATTGACAGGCCACGCTGGCAGAGAGGAGAAGCTTGTTACAGTTCTACGTACAGACCTGCAGGTGGCACCATTATAAAAGAACAACTTAATAAATTGTAAACAAGGCTACCCTTCCTTATTTCCTCATCTCTCTTTTTTTTTTAAAGAAATGTCGTGGAACTGGGGCCCCACAGGGTTGAAATGCTGGGACATGTTGATTAATAGGGAGGATGATTGTCTGCCACCACTGGATTTCACATATCCACACATTGTTCATTCTGCGCTTTCTTACAATATGCAATCCAGAGAAAGTGAGGGAGAAGGGAAATTTCCCAGGGACAATGCATTGTTCGGAATTATCCCTACTGTAAGGTGAAGTATTTTTGAGTTATATTCCTAATGTTTTATACATAGTGCTGTGGTCCCCAAACTTGGGCCCTCCAGATGTTACTGTTCAGAATTATTCCTACTGTAAGGTGAAGTATTTTCGAGTTAGATTCCTAATGTTTTGTATGTAGTGCAGTGGTCCCCAAACTTGGGCCCTCCAGATGTTCTTGGACTACAACTCCCAGAAGCCTTCACCACCAGCTCTGCTGGCCAGGATTTCTGGGAGTTGAAGTCTGAGAACACCTGGGGTCTCAAGGTTAGGGACCACTGTTGTCATGGATAGAGCGACAGATCAGGACTCTGGAGAACAGGGTTCGAATCCTCATTCAACCATGGAAACTGACTGGGGTAACAGAATTGGTAAAACCATTCCTTAAATGCCTCACACACCTTGAAAACCCTATTAGGGCCACTGTGAGTCAGTTCTGATTTGATGGTGTGTAACACACACCCATTTTATAGTGGCTTGGTCTTGAACAGGCTGTAAGACCCACTGACGTTACAGAAGACCTACTATGGATAAACTGCTAGAACTGGTTGATTCCTCTGGATCAGTATTGCCTCCAGTTACAATGAGCGCCTGCACCTTAAATGTTATCAATATACCGCTGGGCGTTAGGAGTAAGGAAGACAAACCAGCTAGTGTATTTCCCTGTCAAAACCTTGATACTGGGCAATGTGATGATTTCTGTACTGACCTTTCCTTTTCCAGGATACTGTGGTGGCGCTAGAAGCTTTGTCACATTACTGGATCAGTACCTTCAACAAGGAAGAGGAAAATTTGGAGTTGACGCTCAAAGTCCCTGGAAGAAATTTTCCGATAATTATACCCATAAGCAGCAGGTCAGACAAACCCGTCGAGGAGGAGCTGCAGGTACATCACCCAGACTGGTGTTTTCTTAACGGAACGTGGAATAATTACTTTTGTGGTGTGTCACTCACAGAACGCCTCAGCCAACAGGGCTTCGCTCAAAAGCAGCCATGTTGACTGAGAGATTCAGGGAGCTCCCTCTTGAAATCCTCTCTTTCTTTTCCAAGGTCTGTCTGTCTGTCTCTCTTTCTTTTTGGCAACCTCTCCGTTTCTGCCCGTTTGATATTTCTGGTGGATACCGTCAGCCCCCCTTTTTGTGGGGGCTTTGTCGTCACCTTTGTGTGTAGTTCACATATTTAATTATAATCTACTTAAAAGTGCTTTCTGTTGTTTTGAAAAGCCCCAGAGCAGTGGCCAACAAAACTGAGCAATAGTGTAATGAATCAGCGAAATAGTCAAATATTTTAATAAAACGGCTGGTGGGTTAACTGGTAGGTTTAGCAATCAGGAAAAAGGCAGGACTGATTTTTCTATGCAGGGGCATCTTCTTAAGTCCCTCAAAATGGAGTTCGGAAAGATTACTTTAAAAAAAATCTGGTCTTTTAAAAATATATAATATATTGAAATATGATGTTTGCATAAAAAATATAAATATAATCATTTTGTGAATTGAAAGGAGGAAGGATATGCTAACTCAGAGGTAAAGATAGATTAAGGCTTATGCACAATAAGAGGAACAGACCGAACAGCTGTAAAAGGGCTCAATAATAGCTTTCATAAAAATTTATAAAGGAAAGTAAGCCAAAAATCACACACCCTCCGGTGTCTATATACTAATGCTAGGAGTATGGCCAAAATGGAGTTCGGAAAGATTACTTTTTTTAAAAATCTGGTATTTTAAAAATATATAATATATTGAAAGATGGTGTTTGCATAAAATATAAATATAATCATATTGTGAATGGAAAGGAGGAAGGAGATGCTAACTTGGATGTAAAGATAGATTAAGGCTTATGTACAATAAGAGGAACAGACTGAACAGCTGTAAAAGGGCCCAATAATAGCTTTCATAAAAATGTACAAAGGAAAGTAAGCCACAAATCACACACACTCTGGTGTCTATATACTAATGCTAGGAGTATGGGAAACAAACAAGAAGAACTGGAAATCTTAGTTCAGGAGGGTAAATATGACTTGATAGAGAGACAAGAGGGCCTTCTTAAATGAACAGTGCAAA